ATAATAATTAAATATTCTGTTAAAATTTAATGATTATACTAATTATATTTTAGATTTTTTATATTTAAAATGAGATGTTTATCCTGTATTTGATTGTGTTTATCTGCAGTTAGTTACACGAATTCAGATATGATATATATGAAATCGGATAGAGATGAAATCGTTTAGGGATGAATTTGGTTTAAAAGTTTTTAAGAGTTTTAAGAATTTTAAGAGTTTTAGCCAAATGCTTTATAAGATAGTATAGATAAAACTAACCAGTTTCTATTATTTTTATTCCCATTAATTACTATTTAATACCTCTCACCAAACATCTAGTAACTCTTAATATTGATATATGTAAAGAGAAATTAATAGATAGAATTGCATTTAACCTACCTTTTATTACTTGGATTAACTCCAATTGTGCATCCCCTAGTCATGTCTCTCTTGTTCATTCATTTGCCTCATCATTGATGTTGGAAAAATTCTTAAAATTTAAATTGAACAAAATGTTCTGATGATAATTAGATCAGTCAGTTCCAATTAGATTGATTGACTTTCTGTACCCCTTAATTATTATATTCCCCAACTTTTTTGTTTATTCTTATTTAAACCTATATATATTAGAGATTTTAATTAAAATAGCCATTTTTACCGATTGTTTCACCTCTTAGCCAATTTTTTACAAGGTTTACCAAAATGGCTTTAGGTCCGCAATTTTTTTTTTGGAACCTGGGTACAAAATGTAAATTCTTTGCAGACTGAAGTGAGAAATACAATTTTTTTTGCGGACCTGAATAAAAATTGTAACTTTGTTACGAACATAAAAGAAAGTATAATTTTTTTAATGTCTTTGATCTGCATCCATAATTATAAACGTGAGTTTTACGAACCTATAACTATTTTAATAAACTTAAAAAAAATGACTCAAAAGTAAAACAAATGGGCCGTCAGATAAATTTCTTTATCCAATGAACATGAGAAGTGCCAATAATCTTATCGAGTAAGAGCGATAAAAAGGATAGAAAGTCTTACCCGGTAAGTAAGGATGACGACTATTACTCAGGTAAACACTTACCCAGTGACTTGTTGTATTCGATATGTTTTGATGTACTAAAATCTTACGTATCAAAATAAATTATAATGTTGAATCATATCGATAATTACTTATTAGGTAAGCATTTAAGTAAACGATCCCAACCTTAAATTTTTTTTTTTGGATACTTTAATAAATTTTCGTGTATATTATTGCAACTTCTGCGAGATTTTTTTCCCACGGAGAAACGCACAAAGCCGAGGTGGATTTATGGATGAGTTACGATGGGTCACATGCCTATTGCCTGCACCTAAAAGAAAAAGAAAAAGAAAAAGAAAAAGCAAAAACAAAAACAAAAACAAAAACAAAAACAAAAAGGAAAAAGAAAATAAATTGCTCGTAAATTACACTGCTCCTTCTCTCTCTCTCTCTCTCTCTCTCTGCTTGAAGCTTATTGGAAGCAAGCAAGCATACAGCTTTATCATCTCATGAACGATGAAACCTTAGTCTATTATGCTCAATGATCATGAATCGGAGTTCTTCTAAAAACTCGCTAATCGGCAACGGAGGTCGGAATCTCCATTCCAATGGTATTCATCACAATGCTCCCATCACACACCGCCGATCCATGAGTTACACCAACAACACCGACGATTTCAACAACAACAACGTCGATCTCTTCTCCCGCAATCGGCATAGTCTCTCTGCCGCCTCCTCTGATGAATCCGACTGTACGATTCCATGTTTCTCTAATTTTGAAATAATGAAATTTGTTAATGACTTTAAGTAGTCATTAGATGTTCTCCACTACTGAGACAAACGTCGTTCGATTTTTTTGTCGGCATGCTGTAAGCAGAATATGATTTTGTGGATGAGAAAACGATGGCTTTTCTGGCGTCGTCTGATTTATTTTGGGGAATATGATGTCGTTCCGACTAGTGGTTTTCGGGACTAAATTCGTATTCCGTAAAATTCAACTTTTTTTATAGTTAAAAACGCTTCTACTTGGATTTTTTTAATGTTTATTACTGTTTTTGATGCATATATGCTTATTCATTTTCTTCTTCTGGTTATTCTACGTCAATTCAGTGCAGGTGAGATTGGGAAGGCTTTCCTTTGGATCAACAAAACCAGCAAAAAGCGTATTGGATGATCTACTTTCATCTAATGAAGGGGGAAAGCATGATTATGACTGGTATGTCCTCTTGAAAGTTGCAATGCCAAAGTAATTGGATATGAGAATCTCTGCTTTTAATTCATCAGATCTAGCTTCATTTTTAGCAAAACATGTATTTGATAGCGGTTATGTGACCTTAGATTTTGATAGGCGACTACTTTACCTATCCAAAACCATCTAAAATGTGTCAGTCCTTTGTCTGTTGTAGAATGAAATGGCACATGGTGATAACAGGGCTTTTTACACTTAAATTTTTGCTTATTTTATTGGTAGTTTTTCAAGGAATTATTCATAGAGTGCAGCATATTGTTCTTGTCTTTCCTGTGTAAAACTTTGTGTAGTGCTAGTTTTTAAGTCGGTTTTGGATCTTGGTCAAGGGGATAAAAAACTAAAAGAAATCCCATTATCAAGTATTTATCAGAAGCCTTTTAGTTGTTTATTTATTTCGACAGCTCTCACTAGTTGCAGTTGAATCTGATTTGAAGGCTCAACATGTATATTTCTGGAATTAGCTGGAAGCAGTAAACATGTACCTTCCTTTGCACATTAAGTAACATTTATATGAAATCATATACAATACCCTGGAGACAATATTGAGATTCCGGCTACAGACTGGCATGATGATGTCTGTTTTTATGCTTCAAGTGAAAATAGAATTCTTAGTAGTTAGGCAAAGACCTAGTTGACTTGTACCAAATCGCCCTTTAAGTTGCATTGACATTCATCTAAAAAGATTTCAATTGATATTCCATTGCTGATTCTGCCTGTTTATTCTACTTTGGGGCGCTAATTTCTATTCTGAAGGGTAAAGCAAGAATTCACCTTCCATTTTATGAAGTTCAAGGTTTACTAAATAGGAGTATATAAATATTAAGGTGTTTAGGGGATGTTGAAAGATTAATGAATAAGGGTTGCACTTGCTGACTTGATGAACCCAGTTTTCATTTCTTCTTGTCTTAATAACCAAAACTACCAGTTTGAACTGCCAACAATAAGTTTTTACCTTTTCTGGTAACAGGCTCCTGACTCCTCCAGGAACTCCTCTACTTCTGTCTTCGGATGGAAAAGAGTCTCAACCAACATCAGTCGCCCCAAGAAGAAATTCTTCAGTTAGATCAGGCTCTACAATTAAGACTTCAAGGGTGCGCTTTTTTTTATTCTTCCTGTTTTCTAACATAGTCTGCAAGCTTTCTTCCAAATGCGGATACTGGTGCCGTTGTTTCCTGATCGAACATAATTATCATTTGATATGTGCTGCACAGCGAAAAAATTAACTTTAGAGTATTGGTTTTCTTTTACGTTCATGAAGTGTATCCTTGTATGATTGTACCTTGAAATTGCTATCCTTGCAGCAAAGGGTCACTGTGCCCATTATCTTCAAATTGCTATTCGATTCAGTGAACCAGCACCCCTTAGGTCATGATGCCTGTAGCCACTAGAATTGAAGGAAAAAGGACACGCTAGTCTGATTGATATGTTATGTGTAAGAGATCAGATATGTAGGGATACAAAGTGTTTCTTGTGTCGAGAAAGACCACAAGTTGGAATTTCCTTAAAATCACATGGTATATATAGCAAACATTGTTGAATAGAGTGATAAGAATCAAGTAGACTTGAATGCCATGAGGGTTTTAACTGTCCAATGCACACGAGAAACTGTTGCTTATGGTATTAAGCTTACTTTTCTCGGGTTTCCTTCCATCTTACCAATAACATCTCATTGAAGAAGAAGCTTGATGATATTTAGCATTATGTTTGTTTAATTACGTTCATGATTCTCCATGATGTTGTCACTTCACTTGATTTATACGATGCTGAAATTTATTGCGTGTTTTCTTCTCTCGTTTAATCATTTTTTTGGGTTCTGGATGAAATTTCATGCAACGAAATTGATTTTTGATAGGATTTTTCTCAATTGCAGCTTTCTGTTTCACAATCTGAGAGTAATCATCCATCAAGACCAGCAAGAAGCAGTTCAGCGACTCGCCCGTCCATATCTACCACCCAATACACAAACTACTCCAACAGAAACTCCAATATTCTAAATACCAGCTCTTCTTCCATCTCTTCTTACATTAGACCGTCCACCCCAACTAATCGTTCTTCATCAGCAGCTAGACCCTCCAATGCATCTTCCCGTCCAACAACTTCACGAGCCACAACACCTTCTAGAACCCGTCCATCCTCCACTACAACTTCCATTGACAGAACCATCAGACCATCCCAAAACTCAAGACCATCAACTCCTACTCCCCGGCCGCAAATAACTGCCAACTTGACTTCCCCTACGATTCGACCATCTTCTAGACCATCAACTCCCACTCGCAGGAGTCCAACACCTTCTCTTGTTCCATCTTCGCCATCTGGTGGACGTGCTTTACCTTCAAATGGTCGCATATCCAGGCCAAGCTCTCCTGTCTCACGCATTCGCCCCCCACCACAACCCATCATTCTCCCTGATTTTCCACACGAAACGCCACCAAATCTCAGAACAACTTTGCCCGAAAGGCCTCTCTCTGCCGGTAGGTCCAGGCCAGGTGCAGCCATGACTGTGAAGGGACATGTAGAGAATACAAATTCTGGAAGTATAACAAGGAGACAGTCATCGCCTATAGTCAATAGGGGAAGACTTGCAGAACCGCCTGGAAGAGGGCGGCCCCATACTAATGGGAATGTGGTCGAGACGTTAGAGGCTCGAAAAACTTCACATTTGCCCGAGTCATTGACAAGAAAACCTATAAAGATGTCAAATTCTGAGAATGGTACGGGCTTTGGGAGGAGTATCTCAAAGAAATCACTTGACATGGCCGTTAAACATATGGTACTGATACCTTTCTCTTCTTCTTATCTTTAATTCTCCTTTTAAGATAGATGTCCACGATAAAAAATGCACACAGTTTTAAGAATATATGATCACTGTACTTTTTAATTAACTATATAACAATATACTCTCAATAAGAAGGGAGTAAAAAATTTATTCTCATAATTAAGGATAGAATTGAAAAGTAGACACTTATTTTATGACAAACTAAAATAGAAATATGGATATTTATTTTAGGGCGGTGCTATATAGGCTACTATGTCCATTATTTTCATGATTCCTAAACCTATCCGTTTCTTAAGATCGCATATCTGATCACCCTCAAGACCCACCTCTGAGTTGATTTGGTTTGGTTTGGTTTGATCGGATACATATCTCAAAAACATTCGGACAAACCAAACAGGCCCTTGTTATTTTTTAGGGCACCTTTGGTCTAGCTAGTTACTGGGTCCATGCAGAACAGCAACTTTTTGACCAACAAACTAGTATTTATAATTTAAACGAAAAATTATGAAAATATCAATCTTATCATTAATTTGTCATTCCAATTTTGAAGCTACATTTTATGACCAAACAAACCTATTCTAATTTGTTTTGACGAATTTCATTTTATTTCGTGCATACCAAATGCATGGTAAAAACTAATTCAATTACATTCATATTCCAATTCGTTTGACATATTTCATTCTTTCTGAAAAACAGATGTGAAGCTTTATCCACTATGACTCGACTCTTTTATAAGTGGTAGTTGTTCAATCTCAAAGAAGCTCTATCTTGTGCAGGATATAAGAAGCGGAGGCATACGTCCACTTTCCGGCTCAACACTCTTTCCTCAAAGCATTCGAAGCGGCAACCCCAGAATGCAACCTGGTCGTGCTTCAGGTGGATCCGTAAATGGAAATTATTTGGAAAACAAAGCCATACCTGTCGTATCCGTACAACATAATAGAACATCATATTCTGGTAAAGTAGCAGAAGTTGACGTGTACGAGAGCTCGAGATACGATGCGATGTTACTGAAAGAAGACTTGAAGAACACAAGTTGGCTGCACAGTACAGATGAAAACAAGGACCAAGGTCCGTTCTTTGATAATGGATTTGAGCCACTCCCTGAACCTTTTGGCCCATTGTGACATAATCTTCATACACATGAAAAATTCACTTGTGATCTGTCATTTTGATATATATATATATATATATATATATATATATTGCATCTAGAAAAGGGTTGTGTAACTTTATCTTGTAAAGTATTTATACGATATTTATATCTTTTGTGTAATATGCAAAAATAATAGTTCGGTATATGTTTATCGCTTATTTGAACTTTTAAATGTTTGTATGGTATATTTATTACAAAAATACAGGGCGTTACAAAGGAGAATGGATAAGCCAAGGACATGTGATGCCCAACTCGATTCTCCTGTTTTCTTGTTTCAAGTTTTTATTATCTATTTCCTTTTTTTGGAGAAACTTTATATTTTTGTAGCACACTTCTCTCAAGTCGGGATTTTCACATAAATAATTGATCTACTCTTTTAGGGTAGAGGTTAGATTTGTGTGCATCTCATCCCCCTCCCCCTCTAACCCACCTCTAGGTCATATATCAGGCTCGTTTGGTTTGGGTTGGTTTTTTATTTGTAATGAAAATACATATGTTCTAAGTAATAGGTTCTTTGTCGGCCCTTTATATGAACATTGGCGGATGTACGACTTAAGGTGACTGAGGGCACATGTTGCACATTGAGGGCAAGGTTGTCAGGGATCTGTTAGAGTCAAAATAATTGGAGGCAAAGATGGATGTACCACTTCTTGGTAGGGGTCATAGGCCCCAACAAAAAAGTTCAAAAAAGCTAAAAGATTTAATGACATTTCCTATCCTCCACAAGAAGATGTCCAGGCCCCAATCTAATCATATATTTTTTTATCGGTCCATTTGCAAATTGCACATGCAGTTGATAATGTTCTTAGCCTCTCATCTTTGACTCCAAACGAACGACCACTCACTACTGGACACTGGCTCACTCACTCCGCCACAGATCGATCACTGTCTCTATTCTCTCAGCGTCTGAAATCGTTTTGAAATCAATTTTGTCTTTGGTATCTAGTTCTTTTTCTACATCTTGGTTCTTGATTCTAGGTAAAACACTAAAAACACTTCTTGCTTTTTTAATTTCTAATTATGATTTATAAACTAGAGAAATTGGTTTTGATCCATTTTTGATTTAGTTTTCTATTTGTTAATAGGGTTTTGATTTAAAAACTAGTTATAATTTTGTGGCTAGCTATGCGAAAAATAGAGGGATAGTTCTATAACTTTTGCAAATAGGTGACAAACATGTGCATATGTCCCATTAAGGAGTCTAACAAATAGAAGACAAATAATCAGTTAAATAGTTCATATGTGAATCAGTTAATTAGTTCATATATGAATCACACTGGTTCATATGCGAATCACACATATTCATATTGAATTAGTTAAATAGTTCATATATGAACCACACGAGTTCACATATACACTTGTTTGCCGACTATTTGTAAAATATACGAAACTACCTCTTTATCTTCTGCATACCATGCGACCGAATTATCTGGTGCTTCATAGTCAAAGTCGCAAATCTTGAATACTTCTTTAGATGAAAGACTATGATCATTTCTCTACTTCTCACACATTTAGCACTTTTCAAATGAATCTCTCTCTCTCTCTCTCTCTCTCTATATATATATATATATGTGAGCGTAATCAAATGAAAACTATTTAGTTTGTGGTAACCTTGAGATCCAACATGGATCAATCATTCAGGATAATTAATATGGTTTCTTAAAATAAATATAAGGGTAAATTAGTAAACTTCAAGTTACTTTAATTAGTGTAGAGTTCCAATTTTGTATTTAAGTCCTCTCTCTCTCTCTCTTTCTCTCTCTCTCTCTCTCTCTCTCTCTATATATATATATATCATTCTCAAATCCCCAAATTACTTTATCTCTCTATCTTCCCACCAGATCTGATTCAAATCCAATCGGAAAACCACCCTCATCATCGCCAAATCTTACTAGTTGAATTGAAATTAATGGTATCATAGTGGTATCACAAATCATCTTATATGTGTTTGAGTATCAAATTGAGGGTCTTTTGTGTGGTCGATCGGAGATGTAACACAGTGGTATCACAATGCATCTTATATGTGCTTGAGTATCACACTGAGGGTCGTTTGTATGTCTTTTGTTTAACATAGTCAAAATTTTTAGGTATCACCGGAGGACGGAGGACGGGGGATGGAGAAAGAAGAGAGTTTTAAAATACCTAAAATGTCATTGCATTAAAATTTTAATTCAAAATTACTAAAATTGTAAATTTTCTAATTTATCTATTGATTTGTGGTTGAAATTGGATCTCATGGTTACCACAAACTAATCAGTTCTTTCTTGAATGGAGATATATATATATATATATATATATATACACTAGTGTATTATTTAAACCTCTCTTTTCTAGTATATTTATAAATACGAAGTTCAGTTTGCTTCAGGCATGGAGACTCTATAACAAAGACAAATCGATTGAACTCATGAGTTCATCTTTATGCAACTATGTGAATAGTTGGTCCGCAAGGTCCTTGAGTTTTTGACAATGCTCAGCCAATATGCAATACATGTTGGGTTATTGTGTGTGCAACATATAGGCCAACGATGTTGTCAGTGGTTTTGATGCTCGTTAGCGAGGGTGTGTTGCCTCCACCTAAACAACCAGCTTTTTTCACCGAAGAAAGTTACCATGAACATGTTAATGTTTCATCATTGGATGAATACATGATAACATTATTGTATGCTAGATAGAAAGCATGTTTTTATGTGAGATGTATAAATACCTGTGCACTGTTCCATGTGTTCTCCTTCTTTAGTTGTGGTAGTTTTCCATTTCAAGATCCTGATCACGGGTTAGATGGCTCCGGCCCTACAAATAAATCCAAGTTGAGACGTGGAATCGTGTGAGAATAGTAGTTATGATGAGAATGGTAATATTAGGCTTTGGATGAGTTGACTTTTCAACCATTTAAACTATTTACAACTTATGACTGATCGATGGTGTTCACTTTTCAAAGATTGATGAGACTGAACATATCATTGCTCTGTTGATTAAAGAAATTACAAATGTACAAGACAGACGAAATACATGATAGCTCTGAACATCTTGGTGGACTTGTTTCTTTGGGTAAAAGTTACAGTTTAATAAATCCAAACCAAACCCATTATCTCAAAACCCACACATTGCTTTCCTGAGAAATGAATACTTGAAATACAGGAGAGGTTGTTGATGATTTCAATGCCATCAACCATATTGGTGTAATTGTGATTTACTTGAAATCGATTAAAGTGATTAGTCAAACATACGTGAGTTAGGAGGTATGGAGTGTACACTCACAAATGTTGTCTCATCACCTTAGATCGCCATAAGACAGGGGTCTAGGGCAGCGCTTCAAGATTTTTGGAATTTATGAGGAGTCGAACTTGTTTGAGAATTTCACTAAGTTTATGTCCAGTGATTAGAATTCTGAAGTTACCTTGAAAATTGGCCAAGTCTAAAGTCTGTATTATGCAATTAGACCGGAACTCTTGTCCATAAAGTCAGATTTGTAGACTTCACGTCGAGACTTGTGGTTTGTGAAATTGACYAAGTCTGAAACTCTGGATTCTAGGGTCAGACTTGGTGTCTTTGCAATCAGACTTTTAGACCCAATAGAGTCAGAGTTCAGGTACATGGAGAACTCTGATTTGGTTGGAAATGCTYTWCAATCTTATCCATTAATGGTTATAACCATTTAACTGCCCRTAACCATCAATCTCTCACRTATCCCTATTTCTAACATAGGCAAAGGTTCATCAATTAAGTGTATTTCCAAAATACCATCAGAAATCATCACACTATTTCATAGCCCCTGTAATTCCAAGAATCTATACATGTGAGTATGGTATAACAAAA